CTCTGAGGCAGCAAACCGCCTCTGTTCTCTGAGTGCCTCTGTAGCGAGAGTCTAAGCGGCAGCGTTTCTGGATGGGATGTGGACTAGTTGGGCCTTTGGAAAGAAGGGCATAAACTCCCGAGTGCTTTGGTGGAGGTGGAGAAGGCAGAGGGGGGAACAGTCGCGCTCGGAACAGTCACTTGCCTTGTTCTGCTTCCTTCCCGAGACTGTCAGCAAGTGCTCTGATGGGAAGGATGAAAAAGGTTCACTCTTGTTTGAGAGCAGAGGCAGTGGATATAACGTGAGGGGAAAAAAATCTGCATTTTTCAAAGTGGGGGTAGAGATTGGTGCCTGAATCCTGATTCACTTTCATCAGCCTCTTGGAAGACCTGAGCTCCAGTGATCTGAAAGCAGAAGGGAGAAATGTCAGAATGTCTCTTTAGGAGAGAGAGAAAAAAAAAACCAGACAGCTGCATTGCAACTTTCCAGCAAACTCCTGGTTAGATGGTAGCTTAACAGAGAGTGTCTTTGTTTAGATCTAAAGCAATATGCCAGGAAAACGCACTGCAAAGAAAAGCCCTACACCAGAGGAAGGGTCTCCTGAAAGGAAGAAGCTTAAAGGTAAGAAAACTCCCTGGGAGCTGAGTTTTTCCTCTTTTCTTTTTGTACTGTCTGCTGAAATTCCTGGAGCTCTTGAAGACAGGAGCCTGGTTGAGATCATTCGTTCATCCGGTCCAGATGAGCGGATCTGTTGCTGTCCATATCTTATACCTCCTATGTTCTGATGACTTGCTTTAATTTCAGGCCCTGCTGGCCCTGTCCTTAGCTTCTGCAGGCAGAGCCGTTTCTAAATTGTGCTTGGCACCTGTGCGATAAACCCCACCAGAAACCAGGCCGCTCTCTTTAGCCCGGACTTTGCCTGTCCACACTAGGTCTGTGCATTGGTTTTGCTGGATGCTGAGCGTATTGGAAGCGTGTCGCTTTTGGGAGATCCCCCTGTTCTCTGGGTAGCTCTGTTCTTTCTCTGGTACTTGGGACTTGCTGTAGGTTTGGGTTAGGTGTGTTGACAGCACCGTCTGTTCAGTTAAATATTTTCCCCTGGATTTCAGTGTCCTGCTAGAAGCAAACACCCAGTCTAAGGACCTGCAGCCTTTGAGCAAGCCTCAGCGTTCCTAGAGCTTTTGGGGACCAGCTGTGATGGAAGGGTTATTTCCTCTTTCTCCAGTATGTTACATGTTTCCTTTCTTTCCTGAGATGCAGTTTGCCACCCTTCACACCGGACAGAGCCTGGCCTGGTGCTTACGCTGGGGCAGGGGGATGTTGGGCAACTGGGCCTGGGGGAGGATGTGATGGAGAGGAAAAAGCCAGCGTTGGTGCAGCTCCCGGAGATGATCGTCCAGGTGGAAGCAGGAGGGATGCACACGGTGTGCCTCAGCGAGACGGGCAAAGTGAGTACAGCATTGAGGTTTGGGGAGGGGACACCGTGCAGGAACCCAAGCGGGAAAGTCTTTCACTGCCTCCGCTGGGGTGAACAGAGCCCCACGGAGTGGCCATCCCCGCTGCACAACCTGCAGGCAGCACTGTGCCTGTCAGACCTGTGCTCTGCCCCGATGTGTAGCTGCCACCAGCATGCTGGTACTGCTAGACGGCAGCTTGCATGTCTTTCTCATTCCAGCTCCCAGGATGAGCATGGTCTCTGTGTGCTGGACCACAAAATTTTGGAGGGCAGTGGGAAGAGTTCAGCCTGGTGGGTCTCTGTCCACCGGCTTCATGCTCGTCTTGTCCTTCTGGGTCTCTTCCTCACTGGGACGCTCTCATCTGCAGATCTACACCTTTGGCTGCAATGACGAAGGCGCCCTTGGGCGTGACACCTCTGCAGAAGGGTCGGAGATGAAGCCAGGGGAGGTGGAGCTGCAGGAAAAGGTGGTGCAAGTCTCTGCAGGAGACAGTCATACAGCTGCGCTGACAGATGATGGCAGGGTTTTTGTCTGGGGCTCTTTCCGGGTATGTTGATTTCTTGGACTCGGGAGGCTCTGCTGGTGATTGCTAGTCTGGTTTCAGTGACTCACCTCCCTGTGTCCATCTTTCCATCCAGGATAACAATGGGGTGATTGGGTTGCTGGAGCCCATGAAGAAGAGCTCAGTTCCTGTGTTGCTTCAGCTCGGTGGACCGGTTGTTAAAATTGTCTCAGGTGAGCAAGATCCTGGTGTGTGTGTTGATCAGGCTGCTGAACGAGGCTGTTCCAGCCCCTGGGGTGGGTGAAGGTCCAGAGTGAACCATATCCCTTTTCCCCTTTTTGCTGCTCTCAGCCGGCTGCTAGGGTGTGCTTGCTCCCTTCTGGTTCCTGAGCAAACAGACCTTGTGTCTCTTCTAGCCCCAGCTAGAAGCTATTAAAGTTTGACCCAATCTGATTTAAAACACTCTGTAAGAGTAACTTAACCAAGCCTGTGTGACCCCATGGAGTCAAAGCACTAGTCTCTTCTAGAGGTGGGGAAGCTGAAGAGAGCAGCCAGGAATCTTGTCCAAGGCCCAGGTGAGGCTGAGGGTGACCTGTTCCTCTAAATGTTCCCAGGAAAACTTCTTTGGCATTTCAGACCGGGGAGTGGGATTAGGTGGAGAGAGAGATCCTGGTATTTTAAGCCATTCCAGAAGCTGGCATCCAGGTATCTGGTGCAATAAACCCCACGGAGTTCTGAAAGGCTTGGATAGCTGGGATTTAAACACGAGATCTCATACCCTGGGTCTTGCTGGCTTCTCAGGGAATCTGAGCATGTGACTGCTGCTTCACTTTTCTCGTCGTCTCCCCCCAGGGAACGACCACTTAGTGATGCTGACAGTGGACGGTGACCTCTTCACATGTGGCTGTGGTGAGCAGGGCCAGCTGGGGAGAGTGCCGGAGCTCTTTGCCAACCGAGGCGGAAGGAAAGGCCTACGTGAGTTGCTTTGCTGCTCAGAGATACTTGATGCTGCGGAGAGCGTGGCTCTGTCCTTGGGCAGCAACACTCGGCTTGACTGAGGAGGCTGCATATTCTTCACTACCAGGTCTTTTCCCCTGGTGCTCAAGGGCTATTTGTAAATCAGTTACTTGAATTCAGTGATCTGGATCTGCGTGGGGGATGAAGAGGGCGTAAATCATTAATTCGCACCTGACCCCTTGTTTGCTGCCCCCAGAGCGCCTGCTGGTCCCCCAGCGTGTTCCTGTCAAAGGCAGAGGCAACAGAGGCAAAATGCGCTTCAAGGATGCCTTTTGCGGGGCTTACTTCACCTTTGCCGTCACGCAGGAGGGACACATCTATGGCTTTGGTCTCTCTAACTATCACCAGCTGGGTAAGCTTCGTTTCTGTCCCCTCGGATCACCTGACTGTTTGGTCTGGCTATGGACTCCTGGCTCCCTGGCTGTCCTGGCCTGCGGTGGCGACCCCGCTGGATCTGGGTCCCCCGATCCAGAACACCATGTACCCTCCGTGCACCCTCCTCCAGGTGTCTACTGCAGGACATCCCGGAGCTGGAAATTGGGGTGGGGGGGTCACCCTGCAAAGCTCTCTGCAGCTAGTGAGTTTGAGGAAAAGTTTGACTTTCGGGAGCTGGGCTGTTCTCTAATGGGGGTGGGCTCCTGGATGGGTAGCTCAGTGCCTGTGGCTGGCCTGGGCTGGCCATGCCCATATACCTGATCTGCCTGGGTTTGTGCGTCCCCGTCCCGCAGGGACCCAGGGCACCGAGCCCTGCTTCTCTCCGCAGAACCTGACGTCGTTCAAGAACTCCACCAAGTCCTGGGTTGGGTTCTCCGGTGGGCAGCACCACACGGTGTGCATGGACTCAGAGGGTGAGCGCCAGCGTGACGGACGGGATGGGATTTGCATGAACTGGTAGGGGCGTCCCTTGATTCTTGCCCCAGCTGTGGAGGTTTTGGGGGTCGTGGTGAAACGCTGAAGCCCTCCAAATCCTTGGTGTTCCAGGCAAGTGTGGTCGCGTCGTCCGTGTGGACGTGTTGTGGAGGGGCTATTTGGATTTTCCAAAAACGTAGTCAGGGATTGAAAAGGTGGTATGAATTTGCAGCAGAGAGCCAGGATAATGACAGAAATCCAGAGTTACTTTTGAACTCTGGGCTCAGGCTCTACAGTCTGGACAGGTATTCATCGTTCCTATCAATTTTGGGACGCTTGGGGGCTTTCATCCCACTGTGCAGCTGAGGGGGAATCCTGGTTGGGATCTAGCGTCTTTTGGCTCTTGGAGCATGTGCTGATGGATGTGGTAGGGAAGGAACGATGTTCCTGACTCCTCCAGGAGTCAGACCTGGGGGAGGGAGGAGGGTCTTGCTATGGCCTACTGCAGGCTTCTCCCTCTTGAGTCACCCGTCCTGTGTGTGTCTGTCATGCCCCAGGTAAAGCCTACAGCCTGGGCAGGGCTGAGTATGGTCGGTTAGGTCTCGGGGAAGGGGCAGAAGAGAAGAGCACCCCCACAGTCATCCCGGAGCTCCCCAGCGTCTCTTCTGTCGCATGCGGCGCATCAGTCGGCTACGCTGTCAGCAGTGATGGTGAGTGCTGGGGGCCTCCGTGCCTCCGTGGGCTTGGGAGCGCTGCCTTATGTACCCTTCCCACCCCTCATCCATCACCTGGGGCTCTGCCCAACCGGTCCCCTGGAACCAGCCAGCCCCAGGCAGGCCTTTCTCCTTCTTTGACGCTGGGTGCCCAGCCAGACTCCTCTTTCCATGCCTACCCACACAGTGTCTGGGACCACTGAGCAGCAGCTAATGGAATTGGCAGGGGGGGAACAGCCAGATTTGTAAGAGGTTATTGGTCCAGGAGGGGGTCATTGGTCTGACAATCCTTCCTCTGAGCTGCAAACTCCTGTTGCAGGCCCTCTTTATGCCCCAGCGCAGGGTTTGTTCGTGTGTAATGTGTGCAGCCCGCAGGTGTAGGAAGGAGGATTTGCTGTATTGTGAGAACGGGCAGCGTGTTGATGGATTCGTCCTGCTTCTTGGGGGCAAGGCACTGGCTAAAAGGAAGGCTCTAGCCAGTTTGAATTGCCAGGTGTTGCCGAGATGCCTTGCTCTGTGTCTCTGGCACTCTTTGGTTAGCCCCTTTGCCTTTGCCTGGGTTTGAAATCCACTTGCCTTTCCTTTGGCTGCTGGATCCCTTCTCCGCCTGGTCCAGCGTTCGCCTAGAAGCCAAACTTGTGTCGCCTCCAAGGGAGAGCGTTTGCCTGGGGCATGGGCACCAACTACCAGTTGGGCACAGGGGAGGAGGATGATATCTGGAGCCCCGTGGAGATGACGGGCAAGCAGCTGGAAAACCGCACAGTCCTGGCCGTGTCCAGTGGAGGCCAACACACTGTCTTGCTGGTCAAGGACAAGGAGCAGAGTTGATGAAGCT